GGTCAGGAATACATGTAGTTGCACTGGTGACTATTGTGTTCCTTTAATAGTTAACTTAGCGCCACCATTTCCACACTTTTGTTGTATTTTGCATAAGTACAAAGTTACTTACATTAATCCATATAAATCTTTCCTAGCACCCGTACCAATAACCGAAACCTACACATTACACACTTCATGTCAGAAATAGCCAGGTTGTTGAGTCGATTCGGCATGCCGCCGTTCCTGCACATCCAGGTGCTCCGGTCAGGGCCTGGGACACTGCCCACTGTGTGCCCACCCCTTTTATGACATGGCACACATGAGCCAGCATCATGATGTCAGAGCAGCTCTAAGTAATAGAGCTTATCGCACGCCCACGTTCAGTCCGAGGCACAGTGACTTGTTGTTCTAGTGTTCCAATGGTGCGTACCTTGTGTATTGTATTTTGGTATTGACACAGCTTTGTCTTGGCTACTCTGTTTCTCTGGTTCCCTTGACGCGGCCCTGTTTCTCATGTGTATACACACACGGCATACATACAAAGACACATACACAAGGCATACACACAAGGCATGCATACAAAGACACATACATACAAAGACAAATACACACACACAAAATATTTTAGTCACCCTCCTGTTGTTTCCTACCTTTTAGGTGCAGGAGTCCAGTGGTGGCTCAGGTGGATGGGAGTCAGAGTTCCCACTCCTACTCCCTGGACTTCCTCCTGCGCGGCTCTCAGTGTTAGCTGGAAGGAGTGACATGCGTTCACTTCCTCCCAGCTCTGTGATGTAATCACAGGGGGCCCGGTCGCGCTGTCAAAGCACCCCGCGCTGACCAGGCCCCGTTATAATCCATCTCCCTCAGGTGGCCCTGACAGCATGGGCCACCCGATGGACCCCTTACCATGCGGCCACAAAAGGTAAGGGCGCATACCCGGTCACAGGGGTCTGCAGGGCGGCTGGGCCCCCTGGAGTGACGGGCCCGGCCGCTGCTGGATAGAGTGTCTAGACACCATCTTACCTTCAGTTGTTAAACAGTTTTCCAGATTTAGCCTTGACGTTAGTCACTTGGTATCCTCTGCATTTCAATTTGCTTCTTTCAAGACATTGCAGTATGAGGAAAGTTTAATAGTCAAAAAGAAAAAGGAATACACCAGTTGGACCTACCAGGTGTATTGATCCAGAGCAGTTAAAGTAACCAACATTTAGTTTCCAAGATCAACAGTGATAAGGGATACAAAATAATGGCTCATATGTATACCCTTAAATGGTATTAAAAAAGGCAAACTGTAAATGTACAAAACGACTACTGCATATAAAATGAAAACAAAACGAACATGTAGAGTAAATGGGCTCAGCCTCCATGAGGATCAATAGAAAAGTATAGCATAAGGTAGAGATATGCAAAGATCCCCCTCTCCCTTTAAAACAGATTAGACAGAGAAAATGAAGCTATAAACAAACAAATTTAAAAGTGCATAGTGATATAAAAAAATGTCCATAAACGACAGCGCGCCTGACATGCATTTCAGTGCAATTAAGTGTGCACCTTCGCCAGAGGCAAGTTGCTGACTGAAAGGATCAACAATATATAGGGTTGGGTCCACAAAGCAATTAAGTTAGAACTTCTAAATCAGATGTGTAGTTTTCAAGGGTAACTAATCCTTGAATAGCTCTCAACTAGCTCCCATATATTATTGGTGCCCCACCTGTAGTGTCCTGTAAACTAAACATTGAAAATTCTTAATTGAGCAAAATTTCTAAATTTTAAGTGAAAGATCATAGATCGATGAACGAAAGGGCATACGATTTTCAATATATGGAAACTATCATGTAGAGTGTATTGGAAAAGATATTGACATCATTAATGAGATTAAGAAAGAAGGGGAGAATTATAAATCAATATTTAAAAAAAAACAATTGTGGCCATATACTAATCTGTACCATTAATTTGAGAATGTCTAAAGGTGAATGTTTCTACATTGGTGTATTACAACTAAGCAAGCGTAACAGAGTTTACAGAATGTATATACACAAACAATCATTTACATATTTACAAAGTCGTTATAGTCCTTAGACAAGGTAACATATAGCAGAGAAAAGGAGATATTACTGAATCAATTTGGGTATATGAAAAACCTTCATTTAGACCATTCAGTGATAGTTTTAAGTCTGTAAATCCAGTACGACTCCCTTTGGTGGAGAATCTAATCTACGGTAGATCCCCTTTCCTGGGGCACAGATGTATTTGCTCAATGCCAAGGAATCTAATTCCTTCCGAGGATCCCCCATGATGTAACTTAAGGTGTCTTGAAATTTGTGTTTCTACATGTCTGGATGGATTCATTCACTGAAATCACGTTCCAAAATTCTCATCCTTAAAAGGTCAGAAGGTCTTACCAACATATTTACTACAACAACTACAAGTGAGGAGATAGACAATTCCACTGGTTGAACAGTTAAAAAAAATAAGGAAGTTGAAAAGGTTTCACTTAGATCAGAGTTGATAAATTGTTTAGAATTTTTTGCAATATATTTGCATACTTTACAACGTCCACACTTATGGGTAGAAGTCACCAGAGATTTTGGCCAATTCGAAGATTTATTTGTGGCATGTAGATGGCCACGTTCAAGGATGTCTAAGGTTTTTACCACATGTGGCCGTTAGGGACACTTGAGGAGTTATGATCTGACGCAAATGAGGGTCTTGGTGAAGAAGGGGACAAAATCTCTTGATAATATTCTTCACTATGTCCCAGCTAGCGTCAAAAGTACCAATACACTGTGTCGTATCATTTACCTCCCTCATATTTTCTTCCTTGAGAAGGTTTTGCTGATCCATGATTTGTATGCTGATTTTAGGCACCTATTTAAGATGAGCATTTTGGAACATGTGAATCCAGTAAAATGGGCCCCAGGAAAGGGGATCTAGATAAGATTCTACACCAAAGGGAGAGGTACTGGATTTACAGACTTAAAACGCTATCACCGAATGGTCTAACTGAAGGTTTCTCATATACCCAATTTATTCAGTAATATCTAATTTTCTCTGCTATGTTACCTTGTCTAAGGACTATAACGACTTTGTAAATATATGATTGTTTATCTGTATATACATTCTGTAAACTCTGTTACGCTTGCTTAGTTGTAGCACACCAATGTAGAAACATTCACTTTTAGACAATCTCGAATTAAAGGACCACTATAGTGCCAGGAAAACACTCGTTTTCCTGGCACTATAGTGCCCTGAGGGTGCCCCCACCCTCAGGGTCCCCCTCCCGCCCGGCTCTGGAAGGGGGAAAGGGGTAATAACTTACCTTTTTCCAGCGCTGGGCGGAGAGCTCTCCTCTCCGCCTCCGTTACGCCCCGCCGGCTGAATGCGCACGCGCGGCAAGAGCTGCGCGCGCATTCAGCCGGTCTTATAGGAAAGCATTTACAATGCTTTCCTATGGACGCTGGCGTGCTCTCACTGTGATTTTCACAGTGAGAAGCACGCAAGCGCCTCTAGTGGCTGTCAATGAGACAGCCACTAGAGGATTAGGGGGAAGGCTTAACCTATTCATAATTATAGCAGTTTCTCTGAAACTGCTATAATTATGAAAAAATGGGTTAACCCTAGAAGGACCTGGCACCCAGACCACTTCATTAAGCTGAAGTGGTCTGGGTGCCTAGAGTGGTCCTTTAACAGTACAGATTAGTATGGTCTATTTTTTTTTTATTTATTTGACTTGGCATATCTTGAATTTGTGATAATAAGATCTATGTTATCTCCACAAATAATTTTTAAAATATTGATTTATACATTGGCAAATTTTCCCCTTTTTTCTTAATCTAATTAATTAATAATTATCTTTTCCAATACGCTCTACAAGATAGTCTCCATATACTGGACATCAAAATGCCCTTTCATTCGTAGATCTATGATCTTTCACTTTAAATTTTGACATTTTGCTCAATTAAGAATTTTGAATGTTTAGTTTACCAGCCACTACAGGTGAGGCACCAATAATCAATGGGAGCTAGTTGAGAGCTCATCGAGAATTGGTTATCCTTGAAAAATACAAATCTGGTTTAGAAGGTCTAACGTAATGGTTTTGTGGACCCAACCCTATATATTGGAGATCCTTTCAGTTGGAACTTACCTCTGGCGAAGGTGCACACTTCGTTGCACAGAAATGCGTGTCGGGCAGGTTATCTTTTTTGCACATTAATTAAATCACTGTGCACTTTATTTGCACCACTATGCACTTTTAAATGTATTTGTTTAGAACTTAATTTTCTCGGTCTAGTCAGATTTAAATGGAGAGAGAGATCTTTGCATATCTCCACCTTATCCTATACTTTTCTATTGGCCTCATGGAGGCTGAGTCTCTTTACTCTACATGTTAGTTTGGTTTTCATTTTATATGCAGTAGTCTTTTTGTACATTTACAGTTTGCCTTTTCAATACCACTTAAGGGTATACAGATGAGCCATTATTTTGTATCCCTTATCACTGTCGATCTTGGAAACTAAATGTTGGTTACTTTAACTGCTACTGGTATATAATGTTTACTTAGGATACTTGCCTGCTATCTCCCTTTTGCTGACTCCCTTTATATTTGTGAACGTGTATATAATAATAATAATAATAATAATAATATAGGAGGGGCTAGTTGGCAATGCTACAGACAGATCAGTAATGCCTTTTTTTTTTATTATTCTTCACTGACCATGTATTTTACTAGTAAGAGTTAAGCATTACAGGGTTACTTTGTGTTCTACACCAGGTAGCATTTCCCATATGTTTTCTTTGGAGGACTGTAAATTATTCCTAAATTTGATAGTGATACATTTCTCAATAAGTAGTCAGTGATTGCTTCAGCCAATCACCAGCTACCCAGCAAACTTACCTCATGCTATGTCTGCCAATAAAACGAACGTTTAACCCTAGAAGGAAACACTGTCTAGACACTCCTGCCCCCTCCCTTCCCCCCCCCTCCCCTTTTTGTTTGGACACCCCAACAAACACACAGATTCATCATGAAATTATGATTTATTAAAAATATAACCGATTTCTGTAAAAACAGACAATTTGTTATGACTAGTACAGTTTTAAACAATTATTGTTTGTTTTGAAGAGACAAAGAGTCTAATCTGCAGATCACAGTAGCATTACAGACCATTGTTTCTGTGCGTTCCATTCAAGATCAAGGACAGATCTCAAAGCTCAACCCATAAGACACTTGTTTTGAAATATAGCCATACTGTCTGTGTGTTATAGTGTCTCAGTAAAAGTACATTACAGGATCCTTGCAGATGGACCGAACAAAAGTCAGAATGGTGGTGTCTTAAGTGACAGAGTTTTTGAAGCTGAAGACATTATGGAGTGGTAGGCTTGTATGGCCTGGTGTAGAGGTACTGTCCCGCCTTCTCTACTTATTATTTTTAATAATCACATTGTTCTGCACATTTGTGTCAGACCAGGTTAACTCTTGCTTGTAGGCATGTGATGCAATGAAAGAAGATCATATTAATGCCTGTGTTCCTACGAGAACAGAATCTTTATTTAAAATCTATTGGGCCAAGACACAATGACAATTGTGTTATTTTAGAATACTTTAAGTTTTCTAGATGATCCCCCTCAAGTTATGCAACATTTGGTAAACATTTTTAGACCAGTTCATTAGACATTAATTGCATCTTTTCTAATGCTCTATGCCAGTACTTCAGTTAAAACTGCTGTTAGAAGAACATGATATGGTATATGTGTATAAAAAGTGAATGCATGTAACACATTCACATCCAGGGACATCTCATCTAAAAGCACCATAATAATCAACCATGGCACACTCTAGGGAGAGCGCACGTAGCAAACATAGGCCCGTATAATCACTGTTCTCAAAAAAAATAAATGCATGATTAGTGCAAAATATTTTTGGGATGATAACATTAGTGTTCATGTTTTTTTAAATTCTACTCAAATGAATGCCTGTGTGCATTCTAACATGTCTATTATGTTGCATGGGAGACTGCATTTCTAAATTAGTATCCATACTAATGCAGTCAGAAGAAATTCACAGTGATTACTGACCAGCTTCTCATTTTACAGTTGCTAGGCATGTAAATCAAGATGAAGGTTGGATAAAACCAAAAATTAAAAAAATAACTAAATACAAAGCAGAACTAGTGCATTGTATCATGACATGGAAATAAAATGTCCGTTTGGACTCTGTAAACCAAAAGTAATAGCAGAAAACCTGAGTATTTTTTTCTTCTTCTAAAAACACTTTGTTTACAGCTTGGGTTGAGCAGCAAGTTTCAGCTTCAAATTGTCTGCCAGTTTGTCCAGGAATTCAAATGTGTTCAAGTAATCCGATCTTTGTACACTATAAAGAGAAACAAAAACGTGAAATCATTTTCATCAAAACTGTATTCATTTTCTTTATAAAATACAATTTCAGTTAAATAAAAATGAACCTGCAAGATTTTATATTGCAATAATCTTTTAAAGGACCACTATAGTGCCAGGAAAACATACTCGTTTTCCTGGCACTATAGTGCCCTGAGGGTGCCCCCACCCTCAGGGTCCCACTCCCGCTGCGCTGGGACTCTCCTCCCTCGGCGCTGGGACTCTCCTCCCTTTTCTGACGTCATCGGCTGAATGCGCATGCACGGCAAGAGCCGCGCATGCATTCAGCCAGTCCATAGGAAAGCATTCTCAATGCTTTCCTATGGACGCTGGCGTCTTCTCACCGTGAAAATCACAGTGAGACGCGATGAAGCGCATCTAGCGGCTGTCAATGAGACAGCCACCAGAGGGCTGGATTAACCCATTTGTAAACATAGCAGTTTCTCTGAAACTGCTATGTTTACAGCAGGCAGCGTTAACCCTAGATGGACCTGGCACCCACACCACTTCATTGAGCTGAAGTGGTCTGGGTACCTATACTGGTCCTTTAAGTAATACTTAGCAGTGTATTTCTATTAATCACAGTTTGTCTGTGACAGTTATGCATTGCAGGAGCTTAAGGGGGGATGGCAGTATAAAAAAAAGCATAGGATTAGTAGCACTGGAATGGTGTGAGGATTGAAATGTTTATGAAGGTTGTTTTATGTAGATAAAAGGAGAGGGTATCATGCAGGGGTACTGAAATGGGAAGGTACTATACTTTATAATAAGTGTAAGGTCCAGATAGTATTCATGTATTATTAAGTCAATTTACATTAGTAAATCTTGGGTGACAGCAGTGTACAGCTCCGGTGATGTTTTGCCACTCGTAAAGGGTTTACCAAAAGGCATCCCTACACCTACTACTCCCGTGATGCTTTGTCATTCGGAAAGGGTTTACCAATGGAGCCCCTACACCTACAATGGATAACTGCAGTAACTTACTTTGGTAAGCTTTTAATGCAAGCTGCAAGGTCCTTGGTCATAAATCCAGCCTCAATGGTCTCCACACAGACCTCCTCTAAGGCTATAGCAAAGTTCTTAAGTTCAGGGTTGTTGTCCAGCTTTGCTCTGTGGTCTAATCCTCGAGTCCATGCAAAAATGGAAGCTGGTAAAAATGAAGAAATAAATTTGGGTTATAACGATTTGTAATATTCAAGACTCCAAGTTAGTAGAATATTTTATGTGTCTACTTACCAATGGGATTAGTGGAGGTTTCCTGTCCTTTCTGATGCATCCTGTAGTGACGAGTTACAGTACCATGGGCAGCTTCAGCCTCTACAGTTTTCCCATCAGGGCAAATTAACACACTGGTCATCATGCCTAGAGAGCCGTATCCTGTAAAATAAAAAATATATATAATAGGGGGTGGTGTCTGAGCTCCATGGCAAATGGTTGTGCCTCCTGCAAGCTCAGTCAGATTTTCATATTCAGCCACATAATCGACTACCAGCCATATCAATACTATTTACGACTTACCTGTTCCTGAAGCCAGTCGGGTTACTGCAGATGTCGGCCTGAATGTGCACAGTGTATTGGACGGAGATTTGCAGCTGGGCCTAGCAAAATCGCCAGACGGGTAAGGCCGCCGATCCCCCGATCCGTGTGATACTGCACCTTCTCAGACTTACCTTAAAGCCTCTGGACCGGTGGGGGTTATCCTGGTCTCCACTAGCTTGTTGTGTGCACCAGTGTGGATGTATGCTTATAAACCTGCCAAGCTACAATAATAGCTTAAACACACAAGATGGCGGCTCAGGTTATCCAGCAGAGTGTCCACACTCAGCAGCACAACACAGATCGTTTTGATCCTGTCAAGCAAACTATGTGGCAGTTGGATACAATCTTTGACCAATTCTGGGCCCCTTTGGAGGCACGCCAAGCAGCCATACTGCCTCAATCTCAGGAGGAGGATACAGAAGGCGAAGACTGGGCGGTGAGTGGGCCTCCTTTCACCATTAACAGACCCCATTTGCATGCACCTTCTATCACTGGCCTGCCTGGGCCGAAGACCAACAGCATTGTCCACACAGACGGAGGACCTACCACTATTAGCGGCAACGTACCACCAAGGCCTCATGTTTATCCCCTTTCGGGAAGGGCTTGGACTCTAGAAACTCCCAAGTCCGTGGCTCAAAGATGCGGGCCTGTAAACCCGCCTGGAGTGACGCCCCACGTCGCTATCAGGGAATCGCAGCTTATAAAATCCTTCGCACGCAGGACTCACATTTCTCACCATCTGTAATAGGCTGAATGTTGGGACACTCCAAACGGCGGATTACTTTATCGTAATTTCCCCACATGACCATTACACGCCTAATTAACTTTGCTTCGTATGTACATGCTTAGAATAGAGCTATTACATTATTACGTTTGGTACACTTATAAGTTTCCCGCTCTGGATGGTATGGTATTGTAGTGCTCCAGACAACCGAGACCAGTGGTTCAATTTTTATTTTATTTTGTTTTTGGTAGCCGACAGTTACCAAGCCTGACTAAACCCTTAAGAAAAAGTTTCTTGGTAGGCACTCCTTCACAAGCTGTTATTGTGTTGTCACTAGCATAGTTCTTATTCGATTGTTTGACTTATCGTTTGCCACACACTGCTCTGCTATGTCATTTCTATATACAAAAAAGTGAAATTTTTGTTTCTGGATAATGTATGTAATATCACAGTGCTTTATACTGCAGCTGAACTTTTACAATGTCCATGCAAGCCTGTATATCTAACTCTGCACTGCCCAAAAATTTTTTTTAAAAATTATATATATAAAAAAATACACACACAGAGTGGTACCTCAGTTTACAAATTCAATGCGTTCTCCTGGACATTTCTTATTGCGAAAAATTTGTTAACCGAAACACAGTTTCTCATAGGAATGCACTGAAAACCAATTAATCCGTTCTGGAGGTCAAAAGTCAAAATAAGCTGGCATGGAAACCAACCCACAATGCAGAACACACAGTAAAAGGCATGCAAACGACGAAGCTAAGCTCCCTACCTTTCCACTGCTTGAGAAATGCACCAAAAAGTCCCCAAACCACTGCAAAAAGTTTCCAGAATGGCTCCAAAATTTGATGCAAAAGTCACTCCAACACCTCCACACTCGACGCCACGTGCTACCTGTGACAGACCCTCTATCCCTGATTTTTATACAAACTCTATTTCTATTTTATTTTTTCTAAATACAAATAGAATTTTTAAAAGTATAAAAATCAGAGGGTCTGACACACTACCCACAGACTCCAGCATGCATGGGGGCGGTGCTATAAACCTCCCAGGCGCAGTGCATCCTGGGGAAACTTGCTTTGTACTGCAAAAACAAATTGTAAGCCGAGGCATTCTTTTCAATGGATTTTCATGTAAATCAGAAAATATGTAAACTGAGGCTTGTGTGTATACATATATACACACATACATACACACACACACACACACTTTTATTTTTATTAAAAAACACATTTAATGGTTTCTATATACCGGTAATAAGTCTATTATGGGCAAGACAGGTTATTTTAAAAGAGCCAATTCAAAATACTAACCCTTATAAATCCTTATAGGCCCTTATAATTAACCAGCTTTAAACAGACATAAAAATAAGCACATGTTATGCAGGGGTATTGGATGTTTATGTGTACCAACATGATCCTCCCACAATTTAAAAACAAAACTAATTTCAAAATGGTGATTCTTATATAGTGATGCTTTTGTAAATAAAGCGATATATAGTAAAAAATAATATTGAGAGCGTCAATATAAAATAATAAACTAATTGTGGGCACCAAGTCATTACAAGTTTGTATTCTAATAAAAAATAATTTTTTAAAAAATACACCTTTTATTTTTCTCTGTAACCCACGCAGCAGATTCTCACCTTGTGCAACAGAGTCCGACTGTACATCACCGTCGTAGTTTTTACATGCCCAGATAAAGCCTCCCTCAGATTTCATAGCCTGGGCTACCATGTCATCAATGAGCCTGTGCTCATACCAGATCTTTTTATCTTCAAAGGCAGACTTGTATTCCCTGTTCAAAACGAAGAAAAAAAAGGTTGTTCCTCTTTACTCGCCATTATTCTCAATCCTATGTTTTGAGGTGGCCTCATATTCCACTGTTTGGGTAGAAGATCCCATATAGCACCATTCAAATGAGGAAAATATAATAGGACAAATTATGGTAAATTGATTTCCTTGTAGGTGGAGAGAACCCACAAGGCCCCATCTGGCAGTGCATTGGCTGGAGCTGCAACTGCCCTGCCTGCTTTTTTTTTTCCACCTCTTTTGCCAGACTATATGTAGTACTGTAAATTTTAAATGAGGGGATAGAAAGAGAGTAGAGTGCTGATGAATTGCATTATGGGTGTTTTCCCTCTTTCATTTTGTAGGAACTCTATCCCATATGCACGACATGCAGGCTCTCACAATCGGGTGGAAATTAATTTGTAAGATAAGAAATAAACTAGGTTTTTTTCAATACCAATTAGTACTTCCTGCAGCAGTAAACTATGTACAACTATTTGGAATTTACTGCCATTTCACCATCAAGTTTTGAAACTAGAACTTAATCTGGACTGTACGCAGGAAGAAATTTTACTAAATACAGCGGAACAGCATCACTTTACCACTTCAAACAGTATTGTGAAATAGGACTGGATAGCTACTGTGTCTTAAATCAATATGGTTTAACAAGTATAAAACATCTATTAGTCTATTAAAGAGGGGTTTCCAATTGACACTAGAATACACGAAGACATTCATGCTGTGATAAGATCAAGTCATAATCAAGGACTAGAGTAAAGATGAGAAACAAGGGTCATCCATCCACCCTCCATCCTCCTGTATCCAGGTAAAAATGCAGCTGGCAATAATACAATCTGCATACCTTTCATAGATTTCCTGGAAAATATCCTTGAAGCGTCCATCATATCTCTTGAGAATGGTGTTCTTAGTGCTCATATAAAGAGGCCAGCTCTTAGCCAAAGCCATCTGGAAGGAGCTATGAGCAAAGTCTCTGATCGATTGATCGGTGTTGAACATTCCAAGAGCAACACCTCCACAGTCTGAAATATATACGAAGGAACAGACTTCAGTATCAAGACAGAGGACAACCACACTACTTAAATGGCATCCAGTCAGGACACTGATAATATTATAAATACATACACACATTTTTTATTATTATTGGCATTTATATAGAGCCAACTCATTTTGCAGTGCTTTACAATATTAGAAAAAGGGGGAAATTTAACAATGAATGACACCATTACAAAATGTTACAGGATCAACAGGTTGATGAGGACCCTGCTCAAACAAGATTACAATAGGAAGTGCATTGGGGGTAGCACCCAAACAACAAAGTGGGAATAAAGCAGAACTGGAGGTGATAGTTAGGTGTAGCCTTTAGGAGGGAGCAAGAGACAGGTTTGTGAGATGGAGGTTACGCTGGGAGGCTATAAGCTTTGAAAGCAAAAAAAAAATGGCTTTGAGGGACTTCCTAAATGATTAAAAAGACACAGGGAGACACTGATGTAGGTAGGCAGGCTGTTCCAAAGGAAAGGAGTAACACGCGAGAAGTCCTGCAAGCGGGAGTTAGCTGTAAATGTGCAAGCCGTGGACTGCAGAAGGGGCTTACATACGAACTAGTTAAAAATATATATAATGGGGGTTAGAGTTAAGAGCTTTATGGGTAAGGGCTAGAATTTTGAACTGACAGTTATAGGCTACAGGAAACCAATGTAAGGACTAACAGACGGGTGAGGTGTGAGAGGAGCAACTGGAGAGAAAGATGAGCTTGGCAGCAGCATTCATTGCAGACTGCAGCAAGGCAGTATGGCTTCTGGGGAGCCTAGTAAGGAGAGAATTACAGTAATCAATGTGAGAAATTACTAGACACAAGCAATGTTTTTAAGGTGGAATCGACCGGTATTGGCAACAGACTGGACATGAAGCGCAATGGTGAGGCCAGATCAAAGAGAACACCAAGACAGTGAGCTTGCAAGGACCAGCTGATGCAGGTACCATTAACTTGCAGGGAGAGCAAAAAAGGAGGATCAGTGTTATGAGGAGGAAATAAAGAAGCTCAGTTTTAAAGAGATGGAGTTTCAGAAAGCTGAAGGACATCCAGGCAGAGATGGAAGAAAGGCAAGTGGCGTGTCATCAGCGTACAGGTAGTACTGGAATCAAAACTAATTAAAAAAAGTTTGCCAAGAGAGGTGGTATATAGAGAAAACAGAAGTTGACCAAAAAAGACAGGGGGACTCTAACCAAGGCAGGATGAGGGGAGGAAATATTAGGAAAGGAGACACTGATTGAAGATTGGGAGAGATAAGAGGAGAACCATGAGAGGACAATGTCACAGAGACAGAGGGATTGAGGAGCTTGGAGAAGGAGGAAGTGATCAACCATTTTAAAGGCAGCAGAGGTCAAGAAGAATTAGTATAGAGTTTGGATTTAGCCACGATTAGATAATTTGTAATTTTAATTAGAAAGATCTCAGAGTGGAGGTCAAACAAGCCATTCTAGAAGCTTTGAGCAAAAAGGAAGTAGGGATATGGGACAATAGTTGGAAGCTGGGTCAAGAGATGGCTTTTTTAGGATTGGTAAAACAGTATCATGTTTAAGGAGAGCAAAGGCAATGCCAGAAGAAAGAGCAGTTGAAGATGTGTGTTAAGGAAGGAATAAGACCATTAGATTGTAAGCTCTACCTTTTGTACTGGTCTGTTCTTATTGTGTTTTGTCTTTTTCCCCCAATTGTACAGCGCTGTTGGCGCTTTATAAATGCGAGAAATAAATAAAAAGGGGAGAGAGATTTGATAAGGTGAGATGGGACAGGATCATGAGGAAAGGAGCAGTGCAGTCACTTCTTGTTCTGTAGCTGGGGAGAAGCTCTGAAGGGTAGAAAAGGCCCTATCCAAGTGAGGTTGAGAGGGAGAGAAGCAAATGAAAATTCTTTCAATAGCGGTTCAATTTAGTCAGTGAAGTAGCATGCAAAGCTATAATCTGTGCGGGAGCATAAAATATTAAGAAGGAACAGTATAACTGTTTAGCAAGAGTGAGGGCTGTGCTGTACGAATGCAAGATTAATTTATAATGGAGAAAGTCTGACAAGGTGCAAGACTTCCTCCAGTAGCGTTCAGCAGAAAGGAAGCATCCGGTAGCGTGTTGACTTAAGTGTGCCATGGTTGGAGGAATGTCCTCTTTGAGGTGTATGTTTGGCGAATGGCTACAGCATCCAGGGCAGTAGTGAAGATAATATTGTATAAGGAGATAGCCAGTGAGGGACATAAGGTAGGGATGGACAAAAATTAAGACTGGACACCATCTGAGAGCTGCTGGAGGTCAATAGAATTCAGGTTCCTTCTGAGTTGAATTGGGTTAGGCTGAGATTGTTGGATGAGGGGGCTCTCAAGAGTTTAACTGTTTAGCTGATGGAAGTGTAAGTCCAATTCTGGCAGCGTAATCAGCCAGCTATGAACTAGAATCTGCAGAAACCGGAAGCCTGCCACTGGACCACCAGGGAGCATTAGAGCCCGGTGGGGACCTAGTTAAGGAGTAAAACATTGATAAATGGTTTGCCTCATAACCGGGGATCACGGCCATGGTACCAGACATCAGAACCACTACTGCAAACTGTAAGGTTTATGATGCTTGGAGTAACCCCTTTAACAGTTTTCTATGCCATATATTATTTTCTGTTCAACTAAGAACAAATGTAAGGAACATAGGTCTGAATTTAATTTTTTTTGGGCGTGCTTTTCAAATTATTCAATATCGTAGGATAATTATTTTTTTATTCAAAATATATATATATATATCTATATATCTATCTATCTCTCTCTCTCTCTATATATATATATATATATATATATATATATATATCTCATTATATAAAAAAAAATAATATCCATAAATAAATAAAAATATTGTTTTTGTTTTAAAATATCAAGTCATTTTAAAACCTTATAAAAAATTTAAAAAAATTAAAAGCAAGGGCATACTTTGTTGAGGTGCAAATTTTGCTGTGTATGTTTGACTTATAATATCTATGTGTACGGTCATTATAAAAGCTGCAAAACCTGCATTACTGGAAAGGCTTGAGCACATGAACAGTAGCACAACAAAATAAAGTGGGGCCTAAATTTAAAAGATCAGCTTCGGGTAGCTATATATATAGGCTATATTATCTATCACTTACACATATAAGTACAGTCTCCTTGGCTGCTTCTCATTTGCGTATAAATGAATGAGGACTCTCACAAATAAAGTGAACCCCCTATTAACATTGTCTTGCACATCTTTTTCATAAATCAGTAGCAACTTCTTGACAAGTATAGATGTGCATGTGCTGCTCTATGAATATAGCAATATCTAACATTATTATGGCTTCTGTACGTTAAGCAACTTGAGATGTTATGGCAGCCACATTGAAATTAATGAATTTGCAGAAACAGCAAATCCTGTGTGTATTTGCATTAAACAAATGACATTCAAAAGGTGGTTAACCTTACTTTTAGATATTTTATAAATGTCAACAACCAAAATGGAACACAAATGGCATCGGTTCCAGCCTGGCATGTCTTTAAGAAAATAAAAGATTGGGAAAGGAAGAAGAAGAAAAAAAAAATAAACTTTAAAGGAAACTTACCTTCAAATTTATTGACCACATATTTAATAGGTTCCCCTCCATCTTTAGGTGTGAATGAGATTTCTACAGTGCCTGGCCCAGGAACCACAAAATCTGTTGCTCTGTACTGTAAAAATGAAAAACACAAGACCGCTCCATGTAATGACAATTTTAGTTTAATATGTTGATTTGCTTCTCTAGACTTTAGGAGCTACAAGCGAGCTGGCTGTGTTATATGTTTTATATAAATCTACAACAAAAATACAAATACTCCAGTAAGATTGAGGATAGAGATATATATACATATATATACACACACACACACACACATACATATACTCATACATTTGAATACATAATATAAACATATAGTAATTAAAGTGACACTCCGAACCCCATAAGCACACAAATAATAAAGAGTTGTGTGTGTGTGTGGGGGGGAGGGGAGGGGTGGCTTGTTTTTTTACACCAATTCTAGGCTCACACTCATAGTTACTAACAATGACTAAAAAAAAAAATCTTTACTTGTGGAAACCAAATTGAAAAACATGGTCTTTTATGAGAATGGTTAATGTTCAGCCTGTTAATTGATTTATGTTTTACAAACTGGTTAGTTTGACTTATGCAAACCTTTGCATTTTCATGGTCTACAATCAGTCAACCAAATGTGTACAGAGATTACTCCTTAAATTAGATTTTCAAAGAGCAACAAACATGTTAATCATTTTACACAATTAAGCAGTAACCACATCACTCAAAGCACAATATACACTACAGGTCAATGTAGTGGTTATGGTGCTATAAATCTATGGACGCCATCAGCCATTTTTTTTTCAAACCATTTTGGAGCAGTATGGCAAAAACAGGGATCTCCTGGGCTCTGATAGCCTATACCCTCATTAGCATCTATGAATGGGGGGCAAAATATATCACTAATGGATGGGAGTTCACTAAGGGACAGGAAAGGATGGGAGAACACTAAGGGACAGGAGGGGATGGGATAGTTCTCAGGGACAGGATGGGAGACCTCTAATGGATGGGGAAGTGAAAGATCATTAAGGGACGGGGGGGGTTGTAAGATACAGAGACACTGAGGAAGGGGTGAAAGAGAAACACAAAGGGGCTCATGAGGGAGACACAAAGGGGCACCTGGGGTTGGGAGGGGAAAGACACACAGAGAGGCCTGTGGGTAAAAGACACACAAAGGAGCTGGTAAGAGTAAAAAACGCAAAGGGGCTGGGGGGAGTTAGACACATACAAAGAGAAGAGCGAAATAAGAAACACACAAGGGGCTTGTAAGACACAAACTCACCCTTACACATAATGCATCCATCACATACATAATTCATCCCACACACACACACAATGCATCTTACACACACTCAATGTACCCCTTACACATACAAAAACAGATTTACACAAGGCATCCCTTACACACACTGCTTTCTATCACTTACACACAAACACTACATCCCATACACAAACTGGTATTCCTATACACTACATTCCATAACACACACACACACTACATCCTCTACAACAACACATAACATATCCCCTACACACATACACTCCACTCCCTGTGAGTGAAGTCATGTGTGGGCCATGTAGGTGGACTTATGGGCAAGCCTTGTAGGCATACTCACTGTCAGCCCCTGGGGGCCCAGACCTTGAGCTGTGTAAGGGGCCCAAAAAACCATGGAGCTGCTTCCTATTTGTTGATTTTTGTGAGCACTGATACAAACAGCCTCCAGAGAGCCTGTTCTACATTAGAGCAGTGGAGCCAGACTGCAGCCTGAGCCCATCATCATCTTGTTCTCATCTTGTGGTAAGCAGGCAATCCATTATATTATTAGTGGCACCAATCTCAAATTTACCTCACATTAAAGGGACACTATAGTCACCAGAACTACTACAGCTTAATGTAGTGGTTCTGGTGTCGATAGCCTATGCCTGAAGGCTTTTTAATGTAAACACACTGCTTTTTCAGAGAAAAGACACTGTGTGCAGCACTGGCATTGGCTCATATGGCAGATCATATGGGTGGGGCATTGTGATGTCACATGGTGGGCACAACATATGGATGGGTGCAAATTTTTGTTTGCCTAGGGCGGCAAAAATCCTTGCACCAGTCCTGGATAAAACTTAATATCACGTTGTTGGGCCTTAGTATAGATAATCCAACTTAGTTTTTAGCTGTTGAGCCTTAATGTACAAGTAAATTTAATTGTTGATCTGCTCAGATTTTGATGGTGCTGCATTTATCAAATCTGGCAGAGCAGTATAGAGTTAAATAAAACAATGATTCAGTAGACTCAGTATAACACTGATAAATTAATTTCTTGATCTGTCAGGATGTGATAATGTAAGATTAGTAAAATTCAACTAGACAGAGTTTAATTGCAATACAAATATGTGAGAAACTCTGTGGCTAACTAAGGGTTAAACTGAAAAGCGGTGTAGAAGACTCAGAAACTGGCTATGAAGCCTCAAAACAAATCATGATAAGCTGTTAGAAGGAATGTAGCAGCATGTGGACTATTGAACGCGATACAATATACCGAAAGCACTGCAGAATTTGTTATATAAATAATAATAATATAGTAACCGTAAATAAAATATTTATTATAGTTCATGGTTGTACTACTGGCACAAATAAACAGGAATGTTCACAATCTGATCCAGTAAATTGCTCACAATTTCTTTACTATAGCTGTAGGAGTACTGTCTGAAGAGATGCAGCATCTTACCTGGTCACCATAGGCATGACGTCCAATGATGATGGGCTTCACCCATCCGGAAACAAGTCTAGGAATGTTCTTGCATATGATAGCCTCTCTGAACACTGTGCCTCCAAGGATATTTCTGATGGTTCCATTTGGAGATTTCCACATCTCTTTCAAGTTGAATTCCTCCACTCTATTCTCATCCGGAGTAATAGTGGCACACTTGATGCCAACATTATACTTCTTGATAGCCTCTGCCGCTTCCACTGTGACCTTATCATTGGTGGCATCACGGTTTTCAATTCCCAAATCATAGCTTTATAGAAATAATTCAGTATGTAAGTCAATAAGTGGAATATCTTATAATACACTTTTCAGAACAATTCCAAATGATCTATGAAGCCAATGTTTGTATGTCAATAATAAAATAGTGGGAAATGTTTTTTTCACCAAGTTTAAGACTCAACCAAGTTATATCATATGTATATATTATATATTTAAATGAAAAAATAAAAGAAGAGTGACTGGGAAGTTGTACATAATTATTTTGACATTCTTGGGATTTACAGCATGAAGCAGCAATAACCGATGTAGTGCTAAGGATACTGGGAGTATCTAGGCAATGTAATAAACAGTTTTGCAACTGATTGCCTTCTTAGCTGGGTCCCAGGATGGCATCTTAATCGAAGCCTTGTTTTAAGTGGGTGAATGAAGTCCTGATGACGTTGCCGGAGGTGGAATTACACCTCTAGCAGCTTACCTGAATATCTCTTTATGTGTAGTGTTTTAAACCGAAAATATACACAAACAGACTCCAGGCATCACCACCATTTGAAAACACTAATGTGTTCATGATGCTTGGAGTAATCATTTGAAGAATTGTGAGAAATAACAATTATGCAAACTCCATGGGGCTAAATATATGTGAATACTTAAAATAAATAAATGTCAAGTCGAAAACAAGCACATCCTGAACAATAAATACCCGTATGAACCTTTGCATAACTTAAAATGGTTTTCCATAACTGTAAAAATAAATCTATACAAATTAATCAGATCTATACCATTACAAAACTTTAAAAAGGCCTAGTGACCTCAGCTTGCAAGTTAGCAAAAAGACTTGCTTAACAGTTTAATTGACACTGTAGCAGGATTGATGTTCACCCTTGTAACTCAGGTTTGACGGATTCACGTTACAATCAGGTTTATCGACTAGGTTCATATTGCAAGATCCACAATACTTTTCTTTTTAGAAATCATTGTTATGTAATTTGCTAAACATACGATAGCCCCTAGGCAATAAAAATTATTCACAAATGCCATAAATAAAAAATAATAATGATAAAATAATGCATGGCCCCTTGTACTTTTGTTATGTGATGTATATTTCTCTGTAGGACAAATGGTGATCTAATTCTACAGAAAAATCTAGATGGAGTAAACTCTGAAATAATTCATTAAAGGCAATGGTGGGGAAAAATAAATAAATAAATAAAAGACTGCAAGAATACATAGCTTCCAGTGATTATACGGTCTGTGTGCTTGCATGTTTTCCAAGCTTGTAGGAACTGGCAGTCTTTACAATGTGTGACCTTTCCTCCATATCCAAGGATACGTCAGTCCCTGCAGTAAAGGAGCTAATGTGATTTATCTGAAAAGCTAGTTCTGCTCAAAGTCTGGTAAGCATGATAAGGGAACAGGTTAGATGGAGTAAAGGGTAATCCCTTCTGAACAACATCACAATTTAAAATCACCATTGTGTTTATGTTAATAAGAAAGTGTGTGATCTCACAGATTAAACATTTGCCCTACTAGTAAGCTTAAGTACACTTTACGTGTGTTCTTACATGTATTAACTTTTGAAGGATACAGAACATTCAGAAACTAAAATGGGATGGGGACTATGCTTTGGGAATTATTACTGGTATTTATATAGCGCCAGCATTTTCCGTAGCGCTTTAAAATATTATCAAAGGGGGAGATTTAACAACAAATGAGACAATTACAAAAACTTGCAGGAACAATAGGTTGAAGAGGGCATTGCTCAAACGAGCTTACAGTCTATATGAATGATACATGATAAAAGTTTGCAGAACCAATAAATATGTCATATTTTTCTCTCTCTTAACTGGACAATTACCAGAGTCAGAATATTGCCAAATACAAGCAAATAAAAGTGATTTCCTTTAATGAAGGAACAACTTACCTATGTAAATCCAGCTCTACGTAGGGCAAAATTAGCTTATCCTTAATGAGGTCCCAGATGACTCGAGTCATCTCGTCTCCTTGCATCTCCACCACAGAGCCACCCTGAATCTTCTTAGACATTCTGTTGAATTAAAAACAAGAAAATCTGAATTGTGTGTCAGAAAAGCTCTTATATTTGCCAAGTATTTCCATTGAGATGTTTTAAATAAGTAATGCAGAGAAAATGTCAGTTGTGTTCCTCCATCCCTGGTTAAAATGTTCATTTTAGGTGTACTCATCTGAAAGCAGACTACATGGGTCATTCACAAAATTCCAAATCTGAGCAATTTAAAATCAAAGTAGAAAAATCAAGGCAAAAGTGGCAAATCTGGAACAAATCTTCATATCAGCGAAAAATGTCTTCCTAATGCTACGGTGTATCCACTATAGTTAATCCATGTAGATGTTCCCCAAAACTGCAATGTTTCACACTACAGGATTAAAACTAAAGAACCACTGCACCCAGATGACTTCATTGGGGTGAAGTGATCTGGGTGCCTATAGTGGTCCTTTAATCTGAATACACCAGTAAGAGAGGAAACTGACAGGTAATAGTAAAATTGGTGGTAAGATTATTTTGTAGTTGAATTTTAGAAATGTAATGGGGGCAGTCTAAGCACTACCGCTTGCTTTAGAAGTTATTTTGCTAATTGTCCTGGCACTGTTCCCTAGTTCATTGCGAAATAGTTATCATAAACTTGGGCTTTTGCTAGGCACTCTTCCTTAGCAGCATTGCAAAAAAGGCCCTGCCTTTCCTAGAATTTCTTGGTTCTCCCCCCCCCCCCCATTCTTTGCCTGTCTTTTTATTTATCTTTGGGGTTTTTGTTCTATATCTGGGCACAACCATCTTGTTCTCCTCTGCCATGAGGTCTGCTGCTTCCACTTCTGTGAGATTGATTTACTAAGGACTGTGCGTGAAAGTGATTGCCAACTGAAACAGACCCTTGCTTTTAGAGGAGAGGGAGAGAGATTTTCATACACAAGGAGCAATTTAGAAGCAGATTAGATAAAGTTTATTTTTTGTGACAGAGATACGTTTACTTTCATTATCTATTTTGTCTAATCTGGACCACCCCAGTACTGTAAACAAATAATCTGTCCACCTATATGACTGGCTCACATCAATATGGAGGAAATTTTTCTAAAATCCAAATGCATTAAAGGACCACTATAGTGCCAGGAAAACATACTCGTTTTCCTGGCACTATAGTGCCCTGAGGGTGCCCCCACCCTCAGGGTCCCCCTCCAGCCCGGCTCTGGAAAGGGGAAAAGCGGTTAAACTTACCTTTTTCCAGCGCTGGGCGGAGAGCTCTCTGCCTCCTCTCCTCCTCCGATCCGCCCCGTCGGCTGCACGCGCATTCAGCCGGTCACATAGGAAAGCATTCTCAATGCTTTCCTATGGACGCTGGCGTGCTCTGACTGTGAAAATCACAGTGAGAAGCACGCAAGCGCCTCTAGTGGCTGTCAATGAGACAGCCACTAGAGGATTAGGGGGAAGGCTTAACCCATTCATAAACATAGCAGTTTCTCTGAAACTGCTATGTTTATGAAAAAATGGGTTAACCCTAGAAGGACCTGGCACCTAGACCACTTCATTAAGCTGAAGTGGTCTGGGTGCCTAGAGTGGTCCTTTAACCTTAAAAGTCCATTATTGCCTCTATAGAAACAATGGTTATAATAAATCTAAATGCAAGTTTCCATTTTGAGAGTTTGATTTTAAAAATTAAAAGAACTCTCCAAGCACCATAACCACTACAACTCGCAGCAATGGTTATGGTGCCAAGTGTGCCCTTGTGCACTCTTGGAGTAATTACTTAAACCTTTACAACTAAAATAACAAGCCACCCATCACCACCTCTCCTGTTTGCAGAAGCTTCCACTAACTCCACTTAGCTCAGCCCTGCAGTGTAGGCCCGGCTCACTGGCCGAAAGCAAGAGCTGAGTCCAGCCCTGCACAACCAGGATGGGTTTATTGGCAAAACAGGCAGTGGCAGGTGACCAGCAGACCCCAGGTATGTTTTCAAACCATTCTTAAAAGGACCACTATAGGCACCCAGACCACTTCAGCTTAATGCTGTGTTTATAATAGGGTTAATCCAGCCTCTAGTGGCTGTCTCACTGACAGCCGCTAGAGGCGCTTCTCACTGATTTTCACACTGAGAAGATGCCAGCGTCCATAGGAAAGCATTGAGAATGCTTTCCTATGGACTGGCTGAATGCGCGCGTGGCTCTTGTCGCACATGCGCATTCAGCCAATGACGATGAGAAGGAGGAGGAGAGGAGGAGGAGAGTCCCCTGCCCGGCGCTGGAAAAATAGGTAAATTTAACCCCTTCCACTCCCTAGAGCCTGGCTGGAGGGGAACCCTAAGGGTTGGGGCACCCTCAGGGCACTATAGTGCCAGGAAAACGAGTATGTTTTCCTGGCACTATAGTGGTCCTTTAAAGCTGTTTGACTACATAGTCTTGGGGGGTGCCAGAGCACTTCTGTAATATGTAGTAGTCATGGTGCTGGGAGTGTTCCTTTGAAATCACAATGGTTGGGAGGCAACAATATTGAAGTCAACCACTTTTTAGGAGTCTTCAAAAAACATGAAATGGTTAAATGTTGTTACAGTTGAGGAATGCAATCACTCAAAGGGTTATGCAAGAGCGGTGTATGACTCTGCAGTTTTCTTGAAAGACAAAGCAAATGCCCAATAGGATTATGTAGAAGGTCACACAGCTGTCCATGTGCACACACTAAAGTTGAGCCATTCATTTAGCTTAGAATATTAAAATGCTAGCATAAAGAATCCCTAACCTCGAGTGCATTTTATGAGACAATTAGAAATACAAATATAGTATTTGGCTACACAAATAGGTATATATGTTACACATAATGCCTCTAGTTAACGAGGTTTAAAGGGTTACTCCAACCACTATGAACTCTTTTGCTTTTAGCAATGGTCATGCTGGCAGAAGGCAGTATGTGCAACCCCTGCACACGTGACTTAGGAAGCCCAGAACGCTATTCCAGGCTACTGCATATAAATTCTGTGCAAAAATTAAATCTGATGCCCTCTTTTATTGTTTCCAATATAGATTCTCATAAAGAAGCATCTGATTGGATCATTTTATTAGCCGGTGAGGTATTTCATTATAAAAAAATTATGGTGAAAAAAAAAAAAAAAATCTACAACCACCTCAATGTATCAAACAAAAAAACGTACAAAATGTATAGAGCGGCCTGTTATAAAGGCTTAGCTAAACACTGTACAGCTTAGATCTGCAGTTCAGAGGAACAATGATACAATGTAGTTTCACCTGCAATTCCAAAACCAAAATCACCAAGATTTAGATGAAAGTGCTACACTATATTTTGTGGTGTTAATTTATACTAATTGTTGTTTTTCTCTATGAGAAACATTTAACTGGATACAGGGTGGTGCAAGATTACAGCAGATTAAAGCAACAATGCAAGAAGGACCTCACCCGGTGTTACATTTAAAGTAAGTGTTAATCTAGTGAATAGGTTTATTTAAATAAATAAGGCGGTGGACAAGATCAATAGTACCCAATGTGGAATAATAAAGTTTAAAAAAAAAAAAAATAGATTGTGAAAAGGGTTATAGTAACCCTTTAATTCTGCAACTGATTTATCATTCTTACAAGGGTCTTAGAATGGCTAATATTTGTTGATTCCTTGGTGATGTTAAACCCTCTCCTTTCCATTGTTCCAGAAATTCAGAGAGTAAAATAATATATACAGTGTGTTGGAGAGGTCCTGAGCAAAAAACAAAACAAAAAGCAAACAAACCACAAAGCCATTAAATAAAAATATAGAGTTGATAATGAGAGATTGACTGTGATTTGCTCTCTGACAATAACCTCATGTTTGTTCACTTCAATTACCAGTCTTGTGATGCATGTGCAGTGCTATTTGCTTTACAGGGGGGAAAAAAAATATATCAAATGGCCATCCTTTAAATCTAAAGATTCCTAGAAATGACAGTTTAGATGGATACAGAGAGTGGCTGTATGTGCATGATATTTATAGGAATGTCAGTCTCAATAAATCAGAGGTTTACTCTTCTACAGCTTCAGTGATGCCCACCTTATATGTTCCAAGCCAATTCCTCTTAGGTCAATGCCCTAAGATATCATTGTTATGCTGATGACACACAACTCTACTTCTCCTTTGCTCCAGATACCACAGACCCAACATGCCGCATCAACAGTTGCTTAGCAGACTTAGAATGGATGAATGCTAGCTGGCTAAAGGGAACCCGGACAAAACAGAGTTACTTGGTGTGGGGACCCCGGGCAAAAAAAATATCCCATGATTACCCAACTGGCCTGGAGTTTGGAGGCTCTGAACTCTTTAGTTCATCAAAGGTAGGGAACCTCGGAGTGCTGATTGACTCTGGACTATCATTTAAACAGCAGATTTCCTCTGTAGTAAAATCTGCCTACTTTCATCTGAAAAACATAGCCAGGATACAACACGTAATTCCACCGGATGATATGCCAACATTAATCCATGCATTTGTATCCTCTCGGCTAGATTACTGCAATGTACTTTACTTGGGCCTCCCAGAAAAAAGAACTCCATCACCTTCAGACTGTTCCAAATGCAGCAGCCAGACTACTGACCAATCAAACTCGCTCCTGCCACATAACATCTGTTCTCCACTCCCTGCATTGGCTTCCAATAAAATGGCGAACATATTTTAAAAATAGGCCTGCTAACCTTCACAATCAGGGCCCACAATACCTGAAAGAGCTCCCTACATTCCATCCAGTTCACCTCGGCCAGCCAGCAGATCCCTCTTGTCAGTGCCAAGAATAAAGACAGACTCAGGTTCCAGGGCCAGGGCCACCATCAGGGGGTGACAACCATGATGGTTGTCACGGGCCCAGCGGTCCTGGGGGGGCCTGGACTGCTCTGGCAGTCCCCGGCCCCACATTCCCTCTCTGCACACATAGCGAATATCGATAGATATATATAGATATATATATATACACACATATACATACATACATACACACACATACACATACACATATATACATATACACACAGCTGCGGGCCCGTGGCTCCCTGTTACTGCAGAAGGGGCCCAGCACATTCAGCTCCTCTCTTCCAATAACTCTTGCGAGACCCGCGGCCTTCAGAGCTCCGAGCGTCACGCAGGCCACGCTCGTGAGAGTTATTGGAAGAGAGAGGAGCTGAATGTGCAGATGCAGTGTGCTGCCCCCCCCCCCCCCGCCTAAACTAATACACTAATACAACAAGCACACACTGCATACACTACACTGACACAGACTGCATACACTAGTACAACACACACTCTGCGTACACTTCACTGACACACACACTGCATTCATAATACACTGACAAACAGTTTGCACTCACTATACACACAGCATCCACTACACACACATTCTGCATTCACTATACTCACACTACATCCACCACACAGTTCATTATACACAAACACTGCATCTAATATACACACACTACATCACTGCACAAACACACACACACACACACACACACTCTATATTCACTGTACACACACACACTACAGCCACTGCACAAACACACACTACCCAAACACATTCTGTATTCACTATACACACACACACACACACTACACAAACACACACCGCATCTAATACACACAAACGTAAAATCTGCATCCAATATACACACTGCATTCATTATACACTCATTCTGCATCCATTGCATGCATTCTAATTCTACATCCACTATACACACACACACACACCACATTCAGTCCTGCATCCTTGTGGGCGGACTCAGAAAGAGCCCTGTGGGCGGAGTCGGGGGTGGGCCAAAACGTTGAGCTTTGTTAGGGGCCACAAAATTTCTGATGACAGCCCTGTCCAGGGCATTCAGACACGCTGCCCCTACCTTCTGGAACTCTTTTCCGTGCACAATCAGAGAGGCACCATCCTTACAACCTTTTTAAAAAAGCTAAAGACCCACCTCTTCCATCAGGAATTCAGTCCCATCATCTGACCTTCAGAAACTCCTAACTTTTATGTCTTTATGTTTGTATACTTGTAAAGTGCTTTACATCTCTATAAAAATAGCAAATTATTATTATAATCAAGGGAAAATTAATACTAATAGATGGTGCCTATACACCATGTTCATTACAGTGCCCATTCATTCCTGCAGCCTTGGTAGGATAAAACACACAAGTGAGTATTGATCCTGTAACTTTCAGGTCAAGCACAAATTACTCCTGCAAGCTTTAAATAAAACTGCTGAAGTGCCTGTTAACATTGTATTAAATATGCACGGTTTGAACTAAAAATGAAAAAAAAAAAAAAAAAAAACATTTTTTTAGTTTGTAGGCAACAAATGGTCATGTAAAAGGTGGAGTACATTGAATTTCTATAAGGCTCTATGAAATTCTGTGGTAATACATGGCATGCAATGGATACTTTAGGTTATGCTATATTTGGTATAGAACCATAGAATGTGATGGCAGGTAAGAACTGTTCAGCCCATCTAGTGTGCCCAATGCTTAAACTCCTTCACTGTGTTAACCTCTACTACTTCAACTGGAAGGCTATTCCATGCATCCACTACCCTCTCAGTAAAGTAATACTTCCGGATATTATTTTTAAACCTTTGTCCCTCTAATTTAAGACTATGTACTCTTGTTGTGGTAGTTTTTCTTCTATTAAATAAAGTCTCCTCCTTTACTGTGTGAGTTCCCTTCATTTCCCCCCTGTCCCGTCTATCCTCCAAGCTATACATGTTATGTATGTACGGGATATATACGAAGGCGATACAGAATTCCTGAGCCAAATAGTTTAGATTCTCATTCAATGCAGTTTGTCAGATAGTCACTGTCTAATGAATGACCACCACTGTCACTATTCACATGCCTACACTAGGAACTAAAATTGTAAGTACCTCAAAAACAGATGGTCTCCTAGTTAAAAATAGTATTGTGCAACACAAAATAACCACCACACACAAAGTATGTTTAAAGAATCCTGTAGAAAGCCAAAAACTGGATGCGGTTTGTTAATGTCAATGTCCTTCACACTCCCACAAAAAACATGATTGTAATACAGAAAATTATATCTTAGATTGTTTCTCCAAAAGCATTTTATTAAAAGAAATGCAGTTTAAATCCAATAAAAATCAATTTTAAAGCTTTTATCCACTTGCTTTAAATAAGTAATTTGGTAGCATGATAAAATATAAAGAATGTTTCTCAACGAAGACAGATATTTAGAAACATCTGAAAATGGAGCTACATGTGGCAATTTAGAAGTACAATAGCTGGGCTGGTTTAATAATAATAATCACTAAATTATAAAATAATTTGCCAAACAGCTACAGGAGATTGTTCATTTGGATATTTCTTATTAACTAAATCATTAAATGTAATATTGTATACACATAGATAGTGCTGATTGCATAGTTAAAAAATACAAGTATACTAATCTGGGGCACAGGTACCACAATATATTTCTGCAAGTTGTTACTAAAGTTGTCTTTTGAGTAGAGTCCTCATCAACGTATTGTTCCTGTAACATTTTGTATCTACCTCATCTATTGTTAAATGACTCTCTTTATCACATTGTAAAGTGCTGTGGAATATGTTGGTGAAATGTAAATGAAAATAAAACTAGGAGTAGGAGCCAAAAGGATCCCCACCACTTAAACAGAGAGAGTTACTAGAGATTCTGCAAAAAAATCCCTGTTGTTCGCAGTCACATCTGCGCCACTTTTGTGCGCATGACCCGTTTTCTTCTTTATAAATTTGCGTCTCTACCCTTTATACATTGGCTTCTGTTTTTGCCTTTCCACGTTTCTACCACCTTTTATTCCTCTGATTTTTTGCTTTTTTTTGTTATAGATTACAAAATAAGATAAATGAGTAATGTTACAAGGATCAAAGTGCATTTGCAATTCAAACAATTTTATTCAATGGTGACACCAAATGCGTCCAACACGTCTCAAAGAGAAGCATTGGATTCAATGCTTTTTTGGTGTTGAATTGACAGAGCATTTTGATTGCCATAAGTCTCTGCCCTGTATCATCAACACTTCTCCGTGAGAAGCAGTGAATTAGACAAAGTCAGCATTATTAATGACTTCATCATCAGGATATTTGAGTTTGAGAGGTTTTTTTGTTTTTTTTTAACCCCGTAAGGACCAAACTTCTGGAATAAAAGGGAATCATGACATGTCATGTGTCCTTAAGGGGTTAAATTGGTATATATTTACTTTTAACAGAGAGTTTACCAGTGCAAAGCCCCATCTCTGCTACCTTGCCCCAAGTACCTCTTAGTCACCTACAACCATACAGAGAGTTATGCATTTATCTGCATTCCATTTGCAAAGTACTTAGAAAGGGAAGGACTGGCATACTGGTGCTAAGGAGACTGAGAATACTCCCACAGTATTTAAAGGGGCACAATATGCATAAATCCCAACTCTACAGGCCAGGGACAGGCAAAAAAGGAGCACAAAATGTAACACTCTAAGCTCTTGTGGCCTCAATTGCGCAAATGAATTCAACACAATACACAGTTTAGTGAATAAGGCCCATTTGTCGACTGTCATATAAACATTGCTTCGGGTGAGAAAACAGCATATGATCTTGTGATTTAAGCAAAGCAGGACAGCATTCAAATTCTCAAGCGTCAGTTCAAAGGATTCAAAACAAAGTAAGAAAATTCTGAAGCCATTGTCCCTTTTTAGGGTGTGATCCTTAGCACTGCGGCAATAATAATAAAATTAAAGGGGAAAAACAAACAACAAAAACGAGCCTGTAGCATTTAGCAATGATGCACCGGGGATCTTACTGTTCTAAACCAACTAACCTGCAAGCATTTCTAACAATCACACGTTTTTTTAAGGGGGTGCACACATTAGATCCATTGGTAACATAATAAGTCACATTTAAAAATGTCCATAAATAATACACTGCAGGGCTTGCTTAGTTACTATGTTAAAAAATAGTAAGCTTGTTACTGGGCTGGACCTGAATGATAAAACAAACTGGGATAAGTGAATAATCTGTTCAAACATTGATATTAACCTTTATTATAATGCATATTAAATCCACCTAATAGCACAAAATAAAGAGAAATATTACAGAGCCATATGAAGATGATTAAACTATAGTTAAAGCTGATTATATATATACATATTGCACAGTATATTATATGCCTGCAGTCAGCCTGCTCTGGTTACCTGGCAGTTGGAGGTTATACAGTAGCTGGATCAGACCTGTGGGTGCGCTGCAGCCAGGCAAAGAGGCATTAACTGCACAACAATGAGAACCCTCAACAGCAACCTTCATAGGCCACGCCCCTTTCCCCAGCTGATCCTTCTGCAGCCAATGGCAGTCAGCCAAAAGATGCGTTACAGCCAATTGGAGCAACCCACGCACGCCTGCACCAAAGTCAAAGCTGAAGCCAGCCAGTGTAGGCGGGGCCGCAAGGTTGCTGTGGAGTCGGTTAGAGGGCTTGGCTCGTGCTGTGAGGGGAGGAGGGTGTGGTCACATGGGGGATCTGGAAGGAGAACACAGTAGTTTGGGGTTAGGCAGCTCTCAGCTCTTCTCTGATAGCGGTAACGCCTGCTGCTGGAGGTGTAGGTAGCTGAACCAGGCGCTAAAGTCAGTAATGCTGGGAATACGTTCTAGAAGTGGAGCAATCCTTAAAGGACCACTCTAGGCACCCAGACCACTTCAGCTTAATGAAGTGGTCTGGGTGCCAGGTCCTTCTAGGGTTAACCCATTTTTTCATAAACATAGCAGTTTCAGAGAAACTGCTATGTTTATAAATGGGTTAAGCCTTCCCCCAAAGCCTCTAGTGGAGTCTCATTGAAAGCCACTAGAGGCGCTTGCGTGATTCTCACTGTGATTTTCACAGTGAGAGCACGCCAGCGTCCATAGGAAAGCATTGATAATGCTTTCCTATGCGACCGGCTGAATGTGCGCGCAGCTCTTGCCGTGCGTGCGCATTCAGCCGACTGGGAGGAACGTAGGCAGAGAGCTCCCCGCCCAGCGCTGGAAAAAGGTAAGTTTTACCCCTTTCCAGAGCCGGGCGGGAGGGGGACCCTGAGGGTGGGGGCACCCTCAGGGCACTATACTGCCAGGAAAACAAGTATTTCTTCATTTCTAGAACGTTTCCTCAGAGCTACGCTTTATTCTCAAATCTGCTGGTCTCTTCACACAGAAAAATGACATACATATGATAATGTGTTAAAAAAACCCTCTCTTTTTATATTCTTAACATTTTTATTTTATTAGTAGTCAGGTTGTTATAGAAACACTTCAAGCACCATAATCACTACTGCATGATGTAGTGGTTTTGGTGCCAAGAGTGTTGTAGTGAAAATGGTTTAGTATGGTTCGACAACTTATAGCACATATGTCAATTTCAGAGTCCTTTTTATATATTTTGCAAAGACCCCGGAAATGGACAAATCGGGTGTGGGTCTGGTGGCTGTAGGGGAGGTGGGTTTTGCTTACCTTCTGCTGTACCTCGACTCCTTCAACTACTAGGAGCCATGCCAGTGATGTGCTGTGGCGCATGCACGAGACTAGAGATGCAGCGAAATGAAAATTCTGGGCCAAAACCAAAAATTCAGGATGCCCTTGGCCGAAAACCGAAACCGAAAATTACTTTTTTCCCAAAATGATTTTACAATATTACATATACATACACACACACTACATATTTCAGTACAGGCAGGAGGACCTACCATAAATCTATGCTAATATAGCTATGGCACCTATTTAAAACTGCTCTGTAACACCCTACCCCTGCAAAATTATGAATTCATAAAGATAAAATATTTATCAAATACTCACGTAGACTGTATACACAGTCAACAGATATACTAAGACAAAAAAGGGGACTACACATTAGTATGTTATCTATGCCTGCCTGATGTATTGCAGTGTGTGGAGCTGGCCAGTGCAGGCCAGTACAGACCAGTTCCTTCAGAGATACAGCATTCGCCCAGGCTTTCAAGAATTAATGCAGTCCCCTAATTCTCAGGGACCACTTGCAACAATATCTGACACTTGGCACTTATACTGGATCTCCCCTTCTCTTCCCCGAATTTGCAGCAGTCCGAGGAGCGGCTGATTGCTGTCACTCTTCACACCTTCTAATAGTTGGCAGCCCTCTGGTGGTGTCCCTCTGTTGCCTGCCCCATGTTACAGGTCCACTTCTCCAGGTAGGAGATTTAGGCTACCACGAGGCCATAAGCACCCGCCTAAATCGCCTAATTAGAGAGCCGTCTATTCGCCTGGCTATTTAACCTATCCTGCCAGTATCTCCTCACACTAGTAATCTGTCTGTGACGGTTTGCCTGGTCACTTAACAACACCAGACTCTAGTCACCTTTTCCACTAAATAGTTCTTTTTCACAGTACCAACCCCTTGATCAGAGCTATTTGGGGATATGTTTTTATGGTTATTTTTGTTAGGTGCCCCAGTGTCTGGCAGATAATTAAATTATCTTGTCCTAAGTCAGCTATGTCCCAGACACTAAAGCACCCAGGTTGTGCAATCTATTGTTTTCAAAAATGTTTCCCTGTTGGTGATATATGTATATATACCAGTGTGTTTTTCAATAAACTAAGACCTGTTTTACTCATCAACAAGCCTCGGCTGATGTTTGGGACAAGCTATAACCACTCTTCTGCTTTGTCCCAGAAGAAGGAATACATACAATATAATCACTTTGGCTGCTCTGTCCCATGGCAGCCAAAGTGAGTTGGCTGCCCTGGGACAAAGCAGCCAAAGTGATCATAGCTATGGCTACTCTGTCGCAGAAGAAGGGATACTTGGCAGAGACACTCAGCCTGAGTATCTAATCCTTAACTGTGTTCCATTATCTCCTATTCGTTTATTACAGGATATTCCAGTTTGGGCCCCACTGCAGCCACTGCTCAAAACTACAGAGATTATAATCACACCTCCATAAACCGATCTTCAGTATTTCCTGTTCAGTTTATATACTTAGTTACACCTCTCCTGTTCAATTTATTAAACCTTGTTTATGGTTATACGGTTACTCTTTTGCATACTTATTCAAGCAGAATGCTTCATCAGTGACCATACCTCAGTAATCAGTCCTTGGCTATACTTTCCCCAACTCTCCTCTTGACACAAGACGCCTCCCTCTATTGATCTATTTGCATCGGACCTTATCACAGTGAACCTGGATCTAAATTTTCCTAATACTCTCATTTCATTTGACTATATAGACTTACCTTAGATGTGACTCTATTCTGAATCTTCTATATTTTTTATAAGATTGCTGTGAAGAAAGAAACATTGTTTTGGTTTGCATGATATAGAAACAAATTATATAATCTGGAAGCAAGATTGTTGCTACTCTATGCTTAAAATTTCATTTATTAAAGCAATCATCTGGAAGGCCAACTGTGCCAATTATCACTCTCCATGGTTTAATTGTTGACGACTGATGTAGTTTAACTGTAATGATGTAATAATTTTGCTTTTCTGAATTGAACAGAGTCTTCAATTACACCAGGGAGGGTGGTGTTTTGCAAAGTTGGCCTTCCAGATGATTATGGAGAAATGGGGGCTACCATAGGTGGATTTAATAACAACGTTCTCCAATAAACAAATGAAGAGATATTGTGTGGGGCCACCGGTGCTCTGGGAGTCCCTTTCAGAGATTCACATTATGTAGCCATCATCCTCAAGTAGATACAGTAGATGCATTACCTCCATATGAATTAATTTAACTGGCTTAATGTACCATTTAAAAGGTGTCTTGCTCCTGCAGGGTAGCACAAATGGAGGACCTGGAATTACCCTCACAAATCTGTTTCCATTTGCTGCTCTTTAATATTTCTCCTTGTTCCTGCTCCCAAAAGTCGACATATTTGAGTTTACCCCATTCATTGTAGTTCATACATAGATAATTATAGAACAGGGAAATCATCCCTTTCTGGGAGGTTTCATTAAAGGAACACTATAAGGTTAGGAATGAGTATTCCTGACCCTATAGTGTTAAAAACACCAACTAGGTGGCAGCCCCCTCCCCCCCCCCTTTTGAATAGGGTTAAAACTCACCTGTATTCCAGGGCAGCATTGGTCCGCTGGTTCTGGCTCCGTCCCCATTCCTCCCCCTTTGCTGAGATAATCAGAATTGAGCCCTCTGAGTGACTACCACTGGAGTTGTCCTTAGCCAGCAATGTAAACATTGCCTTTTCCTTTAAAAGGCAGTATTTACATGAGAATGCCTGCAGGGACATACTAGAGACACTGGAACAACTACCTTAAGCTGTAGTTGTTCTGGTGATTATAGTGTCCCTTTAAGGCATAAGGCATAATCTTTCAAAGACTGGAAGGGGAGTACTTTGTATCACCCTGGGAAGCAAAATTCCATATTTGTTTGTATCGAAAATAATCCCCAAGTGATCGTCTGGCCCATTTTTGCAACTCAAGGAAGTTGATAAAAGTATTATTCTGATAAAGATGGACAAATCTTTGACAGGCCAGCATTCTCCATACCTTGGACTTCCCTAAGGGCCATGGGGAAGGAGAAAGTAGCTAAACAATATTTAAGTGAGAAAGCATTGCAGATATGAAGGGAATTTAGCATTGCGGGGCAAATAGTGCATATATATCACCCTGTGAATTTACAAATCCAGATGTAAAAATGGTGAAGATCAGCACCAGGGAAAATCAACAATAAATCTACCCATCTTTTCTGCTCAAGAGAAGAGTGCCAAGTGACAATTTGGGCCAGTTGTGCCAAAAGTTAATACATAAAGATGTGATTTTTTTTTTGTGATTAATTCTGTGCATTTTGCTTATTGATAGGCTAATTGGAGGGAGAGAATCATGGGTGTTATCATCACCAAAATATAAACAGCGATCTTTTTTTCCAGCGATGGGTTCAGTGTCTTTTGTTGTCCTTTTTGTACTCTTTTTTTGTGTGTGTTTTAGTATTATGGGTTATATAGTTTTGGTTTTTTTTGTATTGTTTTGTGTTTTAATCCATCAACCACCCTGCTATTTTCTATTTCTCTGCAGTCAGTGTCCTCAGCTGGGAAACTTTTTACAATTTACATAATATGCAGACCATATATGCATGGTAGCTACATTGACTTTAGAAAATATTTTTTATTCCTTCAGACCAGATTTGCAGGGTAGCTACACTTCAGAAAATATATTGTTTAAACATTATAAACTTTATGTAAGATCATCGAACGAATCATCCTTTGGGAAAGTGATGCTACAGGCCTCCTCTTCATAATTCTATTGCTTCTTTCTGTACTTAATATGATTGGTTTTGTAGGATTTTCATCATATGGTTGTTTTTATTTTTCCCAACAGATTTATAACTTGGGCATTGACCTAGAGCAGGCATAGGCAATCTATATATATATACAGT